TGAATTTAAATTGTCAAATTCTTTGAAAGAGGACATCATGGATCAGGTCCTTTGGGGAATATTTTGATTCTGACATGACAGTTTCCTGAGCAGCTTAAGTCCAGGACTCTCAGGATAGGGGTATGGCTGATGGCAGAACATGTTGATGGGATGGACAAGGTGGAAAGCCAGAAGAGGAAGTTGTGCAGCAAATGTTGAGTGTCCTAAGGTAACCACACAATTTTCTGAATGCGATGAAAATTGTGTGCTCCAAAAGGGCTGCAAGCTCTGAGCGATGACTAAGGCTAATTTTAAAGTGACTTTTTCCTCACTTTTCTTTCCTCTGTCATTGCCCACTCCGGTGATTCTCTCCTGTGACTTGCTGTCCCGGGCACCATCATTGCTATTCTCTGGTGCATGCAGCAGCCCTAACGGTACTTTCCTGGAAATTGCCTGTCTGTACAAGCATGAGAGGAGATGCTTTTCATCAGCTGGAGGTCCAATGTGAATATGGTCCTGGCTTTTATAGGCCTGATCTCATCCTTTCAAACCTATTCATCCATGTGCAGAAGAAAAACAAGGTAGCTTGTGGGTCAGACTTGAGGGAAGGTTTGACATCATTTAGGATATTGAGCTTTTTTCTTTGGACTCAGGATCATGGGATATCGTAGTTAAAGAAGAATCTTAAAATTCATCTGCACACATCTTCCTTATAGTGATGGGGAAATTCAAAGCCAAAAACTTTATTTAAGGATACTATACTGACATTCAGGCCTTCTGAGACCCACTTCACTACTTTGGTCATTGAAGAATTGAGATCAAAATCACAATGGGATTCTAATTCTGTCTGGTTTCTCTGCCATTTTCTTGCAGAAGCTCCCTGATAATTCTAAATTGTGGTTTAGTTTACACCTCTGGTTAATAAAACCATGGACCACTTTTCATTAGCTCTGAACTCCATAAACTGGTATTCACAGCTTTTAGGCTAACAACAGTCTGCGTTTTCAGCCTAGGTCTTCTGTTATTCTTCTGTATATCACCTCTCCTGCAGCTTAACTGAACTTTTTATTTTTTGCAAATATGCATTACCCTTCTGTTTCTTTGGATATTCTGTTCTTTCACCTGGAATTGCCTCCCCAACAATTTTTTTTTTTGCCATTTTATTACTTCTCACCTATGTACCTCTGGGCAAGTTTTACCCTCTCATGCAACACTGCTTTTACTCTTAGAATACTTCTCCATGGTCTTGTCTTATGTTCCCTGCTAGATTGAAGGCTCCTTGAGAGGAGGATATATACAGCACAATTTTCTGAATGTGATGAAAATTGTGTGCTCCAAAAGTATTTCTTCTATGCAAGTGGGACCTTGGTTGTTGAGTATTCCAGATAGTTATAGGATTTGGGGACGTGTAGAGGGATGTAAGATTTGCGGAGGGGAAGAATGGACAATCTAAAAGTCAAGACATCCCTGCCTTTCTGGGTACCATGGTGGCACAGTATGTCAAAGTATTGGTGCTCATCACCCCTGTAGGATCTTTGATGGTGTAAGATCCTGTTGATACTTCTTTATTCAGTGCATTGTGGAAAAGGTTCTGTGTGAGCCCCATGGGCAATGCTCTGGTGCCCTTGGACTAGAGTAGCTATTTCATCACTGCCCAGATTTATTCCTTGGAAGTCTCTGGGATGGCTTGCTATCCTCTTCTTGATATATTCTGCTGCCATTCAGAACAACATGATTACACTGATGTTCCAAGCTCTAATTTCAGTCACAATGATGAAGAAATTGGCAAGACATTTATTGTGCCCTGTGTGTGTGTTTCATTAGCTCACCAGGCCAGGTACAGTATAAGTAAATAAGTTCCTAGTTTACAGTTTGAGTTCTTCTATGTCAGATACTGCCAGAAGAAGGAAAAAGGCCAATGAAAGCACTATCATTTTGTAATTATCTTGAAACTAAAAATTGATGAGTGCCCTTGGCAGGTACAGTGCTCTTTCTCCTTCACTTTCTGCCTCTTCTGATGAGCATGGTCTGGGAAGAATCATGATGTTACTCTCCACAAGGAAGAGCACATGCAGCTCACAGAGAGGTTCAGAGAAGGCTGCCCTGCAAACCACTGCACCTATAGTTTCCTTGGCAACCCCACCCCATTCTAACTCCTCAACCCTAGAGCAGATCACCTTCCTCCTCATAGAAATCCTTAGGTTGCTCATATATAAGGGATTTAAAGCTGATGAAAATGTCCTGGAATTAGACAGGTGATTGTTCTATAATGTGGTGAACGTACCAAAACACCACTGGGCCGTATACTTTGAAAAGGTGAATATTCTGAAGTGTGAATTATATCTTATTTTAAAAGAAAAAAATAAGATCCAAAGATTTTATACAAAAGCATTAAAATACGTTAGCAGAGAAGCTCCTGAAATACCTCAGGACTTTTTACTTGAGCGCTTACTCTCCTTGTGCATGTACTGGGCCACTCCAGCTGTTGGGTATACAGAGGAGATCTCACAGCTAATCCGTCTCAGCCACTGTTCTGTGTTAGACTGAGGCAACCTTGGTCCAGGTATCTCTTTATGTTTGTTTTGTTATAAAGAGATAATGAACCTGATCTACTAGACAAGAATCCCCCGGGAGACAAAAGTCTAGATTAAGTGACTTGGAAGGAATGATGTGCTAGATTCTCCTGAATACTTACAGAAAGGGCTGTGTGTCACCCAGACACATGGAATAAACCCTGGCTCAGTGAAGGCCAGTGCACCAGGAGATGGGGTGTGTCTTACCCTGGATGAATTTGTGCAATTAGGTGGTCTATGAGGAGCTGACCTGCTTATGATTTTTACATCTGTAGTGAGATGGAGAGAGGGCTTGGGTTTTGCTGCAGTAGTAAAGCAGGAACTTTGTAGAATAGACTTGTTTCTCAGGAGTCCTCTGGTTCTTTGACATGATGGCAGGAGGAGTGGTTGAAAAGATAAGTGCCCAGGCACCCTAGCAGGCTTGTGCTCCTTGAAATGCACACTCTCCAAGATGCACCCCAGGGTTTCTCCTCACCTACAAGGCTGGAAAGCCTCCTTAGAGGAAAGGCCAGCTCAGCAAACTTGTATTAATGTCTCATTTAACAGAAAGGGTTATACCTTCAGAAAACTAGGATTGAGGTGCAGGGGATTCTTTAGTCTCACTGCTGCCCAGAGTACTTTCCTAAATGCTTGCACTAGTCATGTCCAAGGTCATGGACTGCATGCTAACCCAATGGGATGGCTGAGGCCTATAGGCATTGGGGGAGAGGAGCTAAGTGTGAAGCAGGTGCTTATCATGCGGTATTTGCAATCACTTGTCATCTTATGTTTTACTTTTCACCCAGCTACATGTGTCTAGATTTAGGCAGGCAATCCTATCAGTGTCTTTCTGGGACAGACTGGTGGGCTCATATAAAACTTTCCAGTGATCTACCTAGAGAGGACCTGCTGATACTCCTCCTCCCCCTCCTCATTCTATCAGTGCGGGAAAATCCATTTCCCTCCTTCTCTATGTGTTGAAAGGAATGGCACGTATCTTTCCTGGGCACCAACATCAGTGTCATCTCCATCTGAGAAGGTGATTTTCCTCTGTTCTTTCACCCTCTACCCAGGTGGTATTGATTCCTTCGGTGCTCTCACGAAACCTAGTTACATATCTTGTGTGACACTTGCCACATTCAGATAGGTGAGCTTCTCTTGAGACCTTGTGGAAGGCCTCCTTTTGAGTTTGTACTTGTGTGCCTGGGGCAGAATGCATGCCCAGTGTACTTCTATTCAATAAATGAATGGTTAGATAAATAAATAACATTATTTGTGCACTTCTACACATAGTGGAAGATAGTTATAAACTCCATAAATATTTAAAATTGCTTTCCTCTTTATGGTTGTGATGCTTGATGAGAATACATTCTAAATGTGTCTATTAAATCTTTTTTATGTCTATGGGTTTTTTTGGTCAAAGGTGATAAATTTTGAGAGAAGTGATGCCTTTTAAAAATTGAAAATTTTAAAAGCAGTGTTTTGTTAATGTGTGTACAGCAGAATACTAGTCCTCTACTTTGGTAATAGTTGCTAAAGAAAAAGTGGTCTAAGGGCTGAATGAAGTTTGGGAAAGTCTGGCTTAATTAGGTTTCTCTAATGTGGGATGTCTCAAAGCTGCAGTATGACAGTGTTAAGGAATATAAGCAAGACTGATCTGTACACAGGGTATTTCTGCAGTACCATTTTAGCTCTTAAAAAAGTGTGGAGGGCACAATAGGTCTTTGGTATTTTGTTACTGATGATGGTTCAGTGCTTTGATCTAGATCCTTACAAAACAAATGAGTGTTTCTATGTGTGACAAGGGCTCAATTCCACCACCGTCTCTGTGCACAACACCTGTGCTCCACCACACTGTAAAGAAAATTTTAAGGGAATTAAGACATTACTTGTCATAACAAATTATCAGACATCTCTGGTGGACTGTGCAGCAAATGACTGTGCTTTTAGAAATAGCCTCCCAGCCCTGGTAGCTCTGCAGTCACCTCCCAGGACTATTTCATAACTGCCATTTCTCTGCACAGTAATTACCAACTTTCTCCTTGATAGATACACTGGTGTGTCTAAGAGTAATTGCTGGGGAGCTCACACTTTCAAATTTACAAGAGGCAAACAACCTTGTATTTACCTCAGGGGGTTATCAGGTATTCAAACTGTGCTGTGTAAAGGATGCTATTGATCATAGAACTAGGGGAAGAACCTGAATTTTCACCTCAGTGTTTTTCTCAATGGGTGAGAGCCTGACTCAGTAGATTGATGGTATAAAGACTTTTGGGAGGAGGTGGATAGTTCACTTCATCTTGTAATTTCTTTTCTTCTTGAAGTTTGGAGCAACAATAAGTTTTGATATAGTTGGACTCTTTCTTTGCCTTCAGACAAATCAGGTTACTTAGTACCGATAGCTAGAAAGCAGATGAAAACATGATCCGGTCCAACTTCTCACCTGTGCCTTTGGTGTTTGTCCTCTAGAGATCTCAGGGAACACAGAGGACATCCCTCTGGTGCGTTGGAGGCAGCAGTGGCTGGAAAATGGTACTTTACTTTTTCACATCCACCACCAAGATGGTGCCCCGAGTCTCCCTGGACAAGACCCAACCGAGGAACCCCAGCATGAGTCAGCAGAAGAAGAATTGAGGATCCTGCATATCTCAGTCATGGTAAGAACAGCACCACCATGGTCTTCACACCACAGGTAGCTTGTGCTACTTTGACATTATAAGTCTCGATGACGTAGGCATACAAGATGGATTTTCATTTTTATAACAAAATGCTGGAGGTAGAATACTTGTGAAAAAAGTTTTATTATTCCTTATTTCTGGAGAATCAAGGGAATAGGACCTATGTCAGCACAGTGCTGGTGAAGACCTCTCCACTGCATCACACCACAGCAGATAGACAGCAATGCTGAGAGTGCCTGTGAGAGAAAAGATGACGTCACCAGACAGGAAGACAGAGAGACTGAGGTCCAAGATCATGCTCCTAATTGTCCTAGGCCCCATTTCTGCACCATTGGTTAATACTGCAACCCTGGGAACCAAGCTTCCAATGCATAAACTACTGGGGAACAAACAATATTCAAACCATAGCAGTAATTCTGTAAGACCCAATCCCATAATCCTTACTGATCATGGTAATAAGTGAACTTCCCATTTGTGGGAAATACATCCACTCATGCTATACATTGCTGCTGTCCTCCAATACTTGTCACTAGGGATATGCCCAGTTATGAAGTAGCTTTTACAAATCAGAGATAATTTGAGATGGACAATGGATTGTATTAGAAAGGAATTATTCAGTTAACATTGAATGTTTTACAGAATATCTTAGTTTCTCATTCCCAAGGAGGGCTAGCTGCTACCAAACCCTCCTTCCTTTTCTGCCAGTCAGGAGACACCAGCCTACTGGCTTTCTTTCCTCTTACAATAAAGGTTTTGTCAACAGGTAATTTTTTTCTCCTGCTAACCCATTTTAGAAGCTTTACTGTCTGCATCCTTTCTATGTAGAAATGTGAAACTTCAAGAAAATGAGAAGATTTGCTCTAAAATTCTAGTAATTGGTGTGTCAGAGTCTCACTAGGAAGTAGGGCTGCAATGGTAGGTGGGAGGCTTAGTTTAGTTTTATTTTGTTTACTGATGAACCTCCAGCACTCAGAAGAGTTCATTCACATAGCGTTTAATCAATATTTGTGGAATAAATGAATAGGTTTTCCAATGAAGAGAGACAATATGTTTCGTTTGATATTTTATGTTCATGTTGTATTGGTTAACTAGACATGTTATCTGCTTACGGAGTTGTCTGAGAGCAAGTTGAGGCTTGAATGATTACATACAAATGGGAGGCCATGGGCAATTTTGCTGTTAGTAAACCTATCACAGAACAAGCTTGTGTCTGCTATAATTTAAATTCATCCCTTGTTTTGGTAATATTACTGCTTGTTTAATTCTGTGTATCAAACTGAAAGGAAGTGTATCAAACTGAAAGGAAAAAAGAGAAACATTTAAATATGTAAAATTTTCCTTTTCCAAAAATTTAGGATGGAGAATTTTCCCATAAAAACCTTTGATAAAATCTCAGATTGTGAGTACCCCAGCCTTTTCTCTAATTAGTGATCCCTAAATAACGGACTTGGTGGTTTAGCTCTGCACTTTGTTTACACTGTCTGATGTAGATGGGAGTCCTTGAACAGTGAAGAGTTGACCTCAATGTCTAAGGAAGGCAGACAAGTAAAGGAAATTACTGTATTTCAGTTTGCAAATTGTCGCAGGTTTATAAATGGGAGGTGCAGTACTTACAAAGCTTTCATCAAAGGACTGTGTTCCCTCTTGGAAGAAAGGTGATCATCACTGTGCTTCAGTTTCTAATGAATGTGAGATCAGGGAAGTCAGGGAGACCGATCCAGAGAGTGAATGTCTTCATACTTATAATATGATCTGCTTAAAAGAAAGGTGATCTGGAAGATTTTTCCACCTCCCACTCTTCATACATGTGGGAAACAGTCGTAGTCATGAGTGTGTGATTTGTTTTGGTATTTATTTATTTGCTTGTTTTTGTTCCAAGATTGTTTCAGTGAACTGGTCTCTTTCACACCAAGAGCAAGAACAACAATAGCAATCCATTTAGGGTGAAGAAATGTTGTAGAGGCTTCCAAGGATGAATACCTGGTATGGTTATACTTGAAAGAAAGACTCAGAATGCTGGCACTTCAGATAGGGGATAAATCAGATGGGTGTTGGGGGTGAGGGACCATAGTGTAGAGATCTGTAGGAAGATAGTCTGAAACTTGCCCTAGGTACTGCACTATATCCTCAGTGCAGAAGAGACTCTACCATCTATCCTTGGAATGCGCTACTCCATCCAGTAAGTTCTCCAGAGGATGCATGTGTGTGTGAGTGTGTGTGTGTGTGTGTGTGTGTGTGTGTGTGTGTGTGTGTGTGTGTGTAAGCAAGAGTGTGTGCATACATGTTTTTGAGGATGGATGACAGAAACATGTTCATCAAAGATGCCAAAGAATTTTTTAAAATAGCTGTGCTTTTAAAATACAGCAAACCCTGTGAGAAACCCTACATTATTACTACTTCTTTATGAGATCCCTTGGGCGGGGATTAATGGACAGTGGATACTGAAATGAAGAGAGAACAAGAGTTGGTTTTAAAACTCTGTTGGAGATATTTCTTTTATTTGCCACCAGTCACCCATGGCAGACCACCAATAACTTTGTGTTGTTCAAATAACTAAGAAAAAAGTTATCCTTTGTCTTTATTTTAGTTTGTTCTATATGATTTTCAAACAGGCTGGAGAAAATAGAGGCTAAAATGACATAGTCAAAGGGGGAAGCTTTGTTGTCTCTTGTGTGATCTATTTTGGATATGAACAGGGCATATTCCCAGGATGGACTTTGAACTTTGCCAAAGAACAGGGATCTCAGGATGAGCTGAACATGTGACTTCGCACCTATGCTCATCAAAGATGCCAAAGAATGGAAGAGAGTTTGGTTTGGAGCCAACTGTAGCTTGCCTATCCATCCCCCTCCTCCTTTCCCATTCCACACCACACAGCCTCGCATGCTGCCTCTCCATTCCTTAGGATTCTCATCTAGAAACACTTTCAAAGTCTGAAGTTGAGTATCTGCCCTTGGCTTAGAAATCAAGCCTGAGGGTATCCTGTTTGAAGATGTCGTTCCTAGAGTCTCTGATGGTTTCTTCTTAAGAGACTCAGGGATTGGTAGACTTTATTTGATTCACTTTATACCACATTCTTTGGAGGTAAAGCAGGCAGCTATCTGAGGCATCCAAAATGACAGCATTATAGATGCTAGAAGATGGTAAAATCCTTTGACTAGTAAGTGTTGGGCAGTGAAATACATGTAAATGAAATCTTATTTCCTAAACCTTCTTCATTATGAAACAGCAGGGTTATTCTTCATTAACTTTAATGATTAATATTGATGCAGTTTTCTTATTGGAATCAAAATAGCATAATTTGGAAAAGAACAAAATTAAGGTTACTAACACAACATGAATATGTCCAGCCTTTTCTTTCCTGCTATGAAAAGGTATATTTCAAAGCTTAATGGGTGATGCTAAATAATTCCAATATGTGCAAGGAGAATTAATGGTTCTGTGAAAACCTTAAAGTTCAAATTTCTCTTTTTTGTATTTACACTTTTCTCATTTTTATTACCCTAATGCAAGGACCACTGTTCATTTTCATATTGTGTATTTACAATGTTTTTTTAAAAAAATGAATATAAGTGATAATACAATGAAAAATAAATGTAAACTCTTTTTGTATCCTTGTGACATTGCATGAATGAGAATTTGCAAGTCTTCTTATACTGTGCCCAGTATAAATCTGTCATCAGCAAAATCGTGAGCTTGCAGAAAACCAATATCCCAGCTGGGAGGTTGGCAATTTAAAACTTTGAAAAAGGCTGTTGCTTTTTTTTTATTTTTCAATCACATCCTAAAATTTCTGAATTATTTTTTCCAAAGAGGTACCATTTCTTCCTTGCATAGAGTAATTGGATTTCCCTTCTGAAATCTTAACGTTATTGCTGTGAGGGTCAAATGATGTATTTTAACCTCCTGCATGATTCAAACTTGGCTTGAGAGATTTATTTCAAATTTGCCAAGATAATTGACATTTATAACCGTGAAAGTACACAGAGGCACTTTTTAAAACTCTTGAACAAGTGAAAGTAGAATTGGAGAATCAGAACTGAGTGTGAGCTTAAGCCAAAAGTTAAGAAATTCTCCACTAGTAACATAAAATGTTTATTCCATGGAAGACTACATTTTAACACACCTTTACAACAAATGTTCAGACAATATGGATCTAACCATTTGTATTGTAGTTTTACTATTTATTGTATACTGTACATTTTTCTTTTATAGTAGGCAAAAGAATTAAGTGGTACATAAAAGAATGCATTGCCTAGACGTTTTATTTTTGTAGTTAAAGGTAACAGTGCTAATAGATTTCCTGTATGCTAGTGGGTTGTTTAAATTATTTTTCTCAGAAAGTAGACCTTCAAAATGCTTCAGTTTTCTGTCTGTTATCTATCTATCTATCATCTATCTATCTATCTATCTATCTATCTATCTATCTATCTATCTTTTATCATCTGTCTCTTTTGTTATAATAAGAACGTTCCCTGGTAGAGAAAGTCTTTGTGATTTCGTCTTTGTAGGCACAACTCACAGTTGTAGGAGGTGATGTTTTAGAGCATCTGTGTCCCTATAAATATTTGTGAACACAGCCCATCAGGCAAGCCTAGGTGCTGCCCAGGACCCTCCGCCCAGTTACAAGAGCCCCACTGGTCAGCACCTCTAGACTTCTGTGGTTTTGCATTTGGCATTAGAAGCTTTACCCAGGCTCTCTGCTTCAGCAGCTCCAGGTAGCTGTATGCATAGCATTCTCTCTTAAGAGAAACAATGTCGGGAACCAATTTTGGAGACAAAAGAGGCTGTGGTGCTTTGTTAGAGTCCCAGTGTCCAGCAAGTAGAGAACAAAGTTCTGGAGACAAAAGAGGTTGCAGGTGCTCTTAATAGAGTCACAGAGCACAGCAAATAGGATGGGCCATCTAGGGAAGTTCCATTCTGGAGTAGAAACATTTGGGGCTCAATTAGTACAAAGCCCACAAAACACACCTGTGAGA